CCCACACACACACAAAATAAAGTTTTGTTTTGCATTTTGGGATCACTAGCTGATGGAGTCTTAAAAATGGTTTGATAAGAGTAGCCTAAAAGTTCGTAGTGTTGACTAGCTGACTTCTCTCAGCTTTATCACTTTATTATTAAGTATGGGTAACACTAATAACCCTTTAGTAGTTTGTGAAATCCAACAAACAAACACATTTGTTACAATGAAACAAAAGCTAACATATTCTAGGACAACGATATTTATATCTGGAAATCAGATTTAGCATAAAAATGAATGACTTTTTAAAAATATATTCCTCCACTTGTTTAACATGTATTTTATGTGATTGAGCGATTATTTCCGTCCTTAACGATAAAATATATTTTCGTTTATGCGGAACGAAAATATTTTTCTTAGAAGACTGCTAGTTGAACAATGCCACTTGTCTAGATGTTACATGAGTAAAGTAACCGTGAAAGATTTATTTTCGTGAGAAATAGAGCAACCAATAAAAAAAAATGAGTAATTACATTAAGCTCAATAGCTTATCATCCAAGAACAAAGGCGGAGAATAATACCAAACAAATTGCTTCGGTCCAATCACATTTATTTCTCATCTCATTAATTTTATTAATGATACAAGAGATTAAAGTTGCATGAAGCATCTTTGTAAAAACATCGTCAATTTAGATGACATTTACCCAAGTTGAAAGCTACTTGTAACAGTATTATGACGAAGTCATACAATAAACAACTGTATAATACATGATTGTATTATATACAACTGCTTTAGAATCAGAGTTGGAGATAGATTAATAATGATTGGAGTGTATCACATATCGATACCTTTTACTATATAAATTATAATAAACTTAATATTTTTACACTGCACTACTCTATACTTATATTTTACTTTGCGCTACAACAATACATCACTGAGTTCTTTATTTTAAAACATTGTTCATCATTGCTTGATACTTCTACAGTACCTCGAACCTTACTTTTACCACTATAATAACTACTTAATGCTATATTATATTAAATTGTTCTGTACAGAATGATACTATGTTGTACTATAGTACCATAAACCTTACTTTTACCACTATAATAACTAATTAATGCTATATTATATTAAAGTGTTCTGTACAGAATGATACTATGTTGTACTATGGTACCTTAAACCTTACTTTTACCACTATAATAATTACTTAATGCTTTATTATATTACAGTGTTCTGTACAGAATGATACCATGTTGTACTATAGTACCTTAAACCTTACTTTCTACCACAAACCACTTCCTTGACTTTTGATATTTTAACGTAAAGGATCCAAAAAAAAAAAAAAGGCTAAATCTTGTGCTTTTAGGACAAAGTCTTAAACCATT